GCCCTCAGAATCAATGCCAGATTTGCATAAGAAAATAAAGTGTGGTTCATCTGGAAATATTTCTTCTTTAAGAATTTCTTTGGAGCTAAAAATCACAGTCAAGGGGGAAAAAATAACTCCTAAATCTCTTCTCTAGTAATTACATACGCTCCTTAAAGAAACCCAAGAATGAACATTTTACAATAAACTGTACTGTTTTCATTGCATTATGCAAATTAAATGACAACTTGTCATTTAAGAAGTTAATAAACAGTCACCGTTTTGCAGGTTATCCAAATGCTACTGAATAGACAACCTTGGATCCCTAAATGATGCGTAATTAAAATTATTTTTAAAATCCTCTTTGACAGGCCAGGGCTTAGCCAAAAAGTAAATGACATTAAAGAAGACAATGAATTTAATTTTATTTAATGTCCCTTTTTGCAGATCCTCATTTACATAGCATTTTTAACAAAAGCGTTGACCTTATAAATGCTGGCATTTGTACAGCTTCTGCAGAGTTGGATTTAATCATGCTTTCACAAAGCCATAAGGGAAAAGCTTTAAGTTCTCTGGTTGGATATGGAGTAGGAATAAAAACATTGGGCCTGGTCAAATGTTTATCCTCCTTGCTTCTGAAAACAACCTGACAAGAAGATGTAAAGGTCTAGGGAATAACCCGTTGCTGTTTGTAAGGCTGGTAATAATCATACATAATCGTTTGGAAATATAGCTAATAAAAAATATAATGAGTGTTCAGCAAAATCGGCATTAGGCCCAAATTACATGATATTAATACTTGAACAGGTGCAGAAAGGCTCTTTAAATGAGGTAAATGAATAAAATGTCCCAGAGCACAACTGTGTGCACTGACAAAAAGTCAATCACATGAATAATTCAGTGACTAGGACTGCCAGCAAAGGTCAGCTTTCTTTGACCTTTGTGACAGGAAGTGAAAGGAAACACTGTTGACTAAAAAAAAAAAGGACCACTTCCAATCAGTCTTCAGCTTTAAAGGAACAAACTTTAGCTACCAGTGAAATAAAGCTATTTCTTCCAAACCTAGTTTGGTAATTCTGCCACCCTTCTAAAAAAAATGCAGAGGTCATAAAATTTTGTCTCTCAATGAAACAAAACGTGAAAACAAGAAGCTAGACAAAGACAATGAAAGGTTAACTACAGAGAAACATTTTTTTTCCTCTGGAAACAATGTCAATTATGTATAAAATCTGAGGTCAGCTGAAAAATATGTTAAGGGCCCACAGAGCTGAAAGTTTGAAACAGCTGTTAAATATGACAAAACTTCTTTAGCCCCACCAAAAAAAAAAAAGCCTAAATCTATTCCAAACCCTGTATGGAAGAAAATGGGATAAACAGATGTCTGGCTTTTATACAGAAAAGTAGAACACACTTGGAATTATAAGTCTTCTTAACTCTATAGAATAATGCCAGATTTATAGAGGAGGGAGAGTATTTACTACCCACAGAAATGTCAACTAGCAGTACAACTGTGATAATACCATCTGGAAAAATGATGCCATGCATGCTCTCAGCAACACTTTGCAAGTTCATTCCGTGCGCACAGGCAGATCTGCCATTGTTTTACTAACAAGTTGCTTCTTAATGGGATTGTAGTTTGGAAACCCTGTCTTTCTCTATTCCTTTGTAATCAACTGCTTCAATGTTCAACAGTTGAATACTGTGATCTCATATAGATTCTAGCCAAACAAGAAAAGGAAAAGTCAAAAAAATGTCTTTTACCAGGAATTTCCATAACTTCACATAAAATATTATGGTGGCAGAAAAGAATTATTTTAGCACACAGTGTGGTTTTGGTTTAGCAGTTACAGCGGTATCCTGTAATCATTTATAGGCAGTGGAATGTATGAGTGAAATAGGATAGATTTATCTCTTCATAGTTGTGATATGTAGACAATGGGTGTTCCTAATGAGGAACATCTGCTTTTGAGCTCGCCCAGAAAACATTATTCCACTATGAAAATGATACTCCTATCCTTTTCAGCAGGCCTTCATAAAAATAAGTTGTTTTCTTTTATTTCTTTTATTTGTCTTTCTTTGGGGCAGTTTTATTTCCCATGGAGACTTTTCGGAGGCATCCCTTTGGCTTGAATTACTTTATAGTACTATTTTGGTGGACTGTATCTGTTACATGGATTGCATAATTGTAAAGACAAAACAGTGTCCAAAATTGTAATAATTGAAAACGTATTCTTAAGAATGTTTTTAGCAGAAAAATACACAAAAATTGGTCTATGGGGAAAGGAGATAAGTACTGAGTACTTTATATAGTGTGGAATTTTAAAGCCCTAATAAAAATATTTTTATTTTCTTTATTTTATCATTTTAATGTGAAATATTTGATTTATAGATATATGTATGGCTTCTGCATGTATGATTCCATGTTACTGTTAGAAAATACAGATAATACCTATTTTCTATCCATTCTATTATAACATTATTTAAAACAGGTTGTGATTTCATCAGAACAATTGCATGGTCAAAGATCACAATACACGTCTGAATTTTTGATTAATATTCTCCGGACAAAAATCTGTAATCAAAATATTACATGTATACAAATGTCAAAAAGATAAATAGAAAATAATATTTATATATTTTTTAAACTAAGGGATATTTCATGTGTTAACTGGCCTACCATTTTAACTAAAGTTTTATTCTATGGGCTAAAAAGATCATACAATCCAGAAATTTTGCTCTACCATCAGCAAATTTAAA